GGGCTTGAACCCACGAACTGAGAGATCATGACCTGAGCTGAAGTGGATCATTTTTAAATCTGCCCTTAAAAAAAAAAAAAAAGTTTTTTTTCTCAGTACATCATGGATATCTTTCTCTATTGATAAATGTAAATTTATGTCACCATTTCTAATGACTACAACATTCCATGGTATACTAATAATTCTTAAACTCTATTTGGCAGCCTTATTTTCTAAGCTTTGGGACCAAAAGCATCAGAATACTGTTGGTCACAAGACAGGGCAAAGAAAGCGCATCACTGAAGTGGAACAGGGAAGGTTCTACCACAGTCTCTAACCGTGGCATTTCAGGACTGAGCCATGTGCTTTCCTTGGCATCGGCCCCGAGCCCCAGATGGAAGCTGTACCCCGGGGAGAGAGAGCCTCAGGCAACAGCATCAAATGCGCTGGGCTAAGAGCCTCTGAATTGAGAAACTTCCTCTCGGGGCACACACAGCCTCCAACTCCTGCAGACCCTCTTCCGGGCACCCCCAGGTTACCTTGGGCTTGTTACAGTGCGCGATCACTCGCAAGATTCTCTTCTTCAAATCTTCCAAGTTGGTCACACTTAACCTGTTTAGCAGAAGACCAGATTGAAGCTCAAAATCCGGTCTTTCAGCTGCCCTGAGCCCCGAGGAAGTGCCGGCAGACTCACCTGGGGATGATATCCTTGCCTAGCACAAGCGACACGGTGAAGTTCTTGGAGTGTTCATAAAGGGATTTGCTGAAATTTCAGAAAGATAAACATTCGTCAAGTTTCAGGATTATATTGCCCACAAAGAGCTCCAAAGAGAAATCGAGCAACTTTGCCAGGTGACCGAGGTCAGTTTTCAGAGACTTGGGCTGTTCTCTACCCTTTAAAAAAGGGGAAGAGAAAGTGGAGCGCATCCAATCGGAGCGACTCCTTCCCCGGATTCTAGTAAAGCCACAACAGCCGTCAGCCGGATCGAGACGGCAGACCACGCACGTGCTTGTACCCTTCGCCCCGCAGCCCCGCTTGGAGGGACCTAACAGACACTCTGGCCGGGCTCCCGGGTGGGCTCAGTTGCTTCAGCGTCCGACTCCATTTCGGCTCAGGTCATGATCTCACAGTTCGTGGGATCGAGCCCCAAGTTGGGCTCTGCAAAGACAGCGGGAGCCTGCTTGGGAATCCATCTCTCCTCCTCTGCCCCTCCCCGGCTCGTGCAGGGGTGTGCACGCTCTCTCAAAATAAATACACTTGAAACAAAAAACACCAACTGGCAAAAACGGAGAAGGACAGATACAAAAGGCTCTCACTGCTTACAATAGCAGAGGCTGGAAACCCCAGTGTCCACCCCTGGAGAGCCGTTCAATTCACACACCACAGCACATCCAGGGAGTACCGAGTCCTTAGCAGCAGGAGAGTGAGGGTGGCCTGTGCTGTTGTGGGGTGGTCTCAGGACACACGGTCAAGTTACAAGTTACAACAACACCCACGGCAGCATGAAGACTTACGAAAAGGAGGAGGAATGCAAAGGTGTATCCGTATTTGCTTTTATATGTAAAGAGGTGAGAATTATGGAAAAGCCAAGTTAAAAACTAACGGTGACCTCAGGGAAGAAGGATGGAAAGGAGATGTCTCTGAGTGTCTCTTGCTCCGTAGAGTTGTCTTTGGAACCACGTCATTGTTTTACATAATCATAAACATTAAAAGAAGGAAAGCAATTCCTAACATCGAGGGTGAAAGAAATGAACCTAGCGGCGTATTAGCCAAACAGGAGGATTATTTCAGGTGAGCTTCCAACAACAGAAGTTGGCTGTCCATCCCTGGGGGGGATGTTCCATAAGAACAAAACCAAGTGTAAAAAAGCCCAAACCGCCTGCAGCAATCCTCCCACTATGAGCATTCCGGAAGTGGTCAGTCTCTGGGCCCTCTGCACACATACATCGGTGCGCACACGGCTCTGTGGACCTACTAAAAACTGGGGCTCAAGGAAACCAAGATTTTTAGCATAAGAGAAAAAAAGATACAGTTGCGGTAAAAATCCCGATCTTTAAGTTGAAAGTGTCAATATGAAGTAAGGATACATTTCCTCTTTGGGGTAACAACAGCATTTCCTACCTCTTAGCACCGAAAAGGCCTAGAAACCGTGACCCCGCCTGGCAGGAATGGGGCACCCGGTGCCCAGGTGACAGTCTCTAATACCATTTCCTACTCAAAAACAACACAGTACTCCATGGGGAGATGGTTGCCGCTTCCAGATGGCAGGACCGGGCAAGAAACCTGAGAACCGTTTTGTGGTGCCAGAAAGGAGACACCTGTCCGACACCCGGGGCCGTGGCAGGGTGAGAAGCCTGGTTTGAAGGGACTCCGCTGGCCAAAAGGGGACCGTGGGAACATCAGCAACTCTGCTGCAATGGGCTGAGATAGTTTCAAAGAATGAAGGTCCACCTCTGGAGAATGCTAGAATACCGATTCAGCACTCGGCACACAGCTAAGGAGAGGGAAAGATTCAAGCATTCATGCATCTGTTCTGCTTAAACTGTGAGAAGCTTATACCTCAGATAACCAAGTACTTGGAAGAAAAGTTTTTGTTTTTTTTTTGAATTTTGGCTAATAACTGTAGAAGGGATGCCAGAATATCAACATCTTGTAATCTCTAATAAAATATGTACATATCAGTTACCAGCTGCCAACGTCACAGAGCCCAGCAGACCGGTGTCTCCTGAGGTGATCCAATAGGAATCACGTACCATTCCCACCACGCATTACTGTCAAAAAAAAAAAAATCAACCCTGAGTCTGTCAAGTTTCTAGACACAATTACCATCTTCTAGGACACACAGCCAGCGGTACGCAGGAACATGTTACGTGACATGGTGAATATACAAGAAAGGAAATCCAGAATGTGGATTCTCCACAACAAGTAACTTGTTTCGGAAGTAGAGGGAAATGAGAAATCTATACATTAAGAGAGTTTACAGAATTTCTGTTGTCTGGATTGCGTGCATGTACACTACTGAATGTGATTAAAAACTTAACAAAAAAAATACAGTTACAAGACAGATCCACTATATCCAATGTGAGAATCCTGTTTGGAATTTATAACATTTATGAGATCATTGGGAGAACGTGATCAGTTAGTTAGTGGTACGAAGAAATTATTAACTTTTTAAAAAAGTGCTCTATGCTATAGAAATCAGCATATTTCCGGATAAAATGATAGGTCTCAGATTTGCATCAAAGTAATCGCGCCATGGGATCTGTGGGAAGCAGGGGGTACCTGAAGATTCGGCGTGTTAATAAACTACTGAAGCTGATTAAATGGTGGCTTCTGCTCTTTTGACCTTGGTTTGAATTTGTAATTTCTGTATGAAAATTCCATTTTAAGATGATCATAAGCACTGAAGACAGCATTAGTGATCTCGTACAGGAATCCGAAGAACTATCCAGAAGGTAACACTAGAAACAAAGAGACAAGGTACGAGAGACAAGTTCACAACGTGCAGTAAGAGCAAGGCAGTAATGCCTGTCTGATGGGAGGCCCCCAAGGAGTGGGAGACCGCAGAGGCAGCCATCTGCCACATGTGACTAGGCCTTCACAGATTGGGGGATCTAAACCTTTCAAGCAAGATACATTAAAAGGAGATTCTACAAGCACTTAGGAAAAAAGCAAACACCCATGTAACCTGGATGCACCTTACTGAGTAAAAGAAACGCAACACAAAAGACAGCATATTGTATAGGATTCCATTTATGACATGCTAGAGAAGAGAAAACTACAGTGACAAAAAGATCCTTGGATACCTGGGGGCGGGTGGAAGGGACTGACTGCAAAAGGACACAGGACATTTTAATGGTGATCAGCCCCGAAAGGGAAAAAAAAAAAACTGTCATTTGTGAAGTTATTATATACAATTAAAAAAAAAAAAAAAGAAAGCATCTGCAGAGGAATTCTAATTAATAGGGAAATTTAACAAGGCTGTTGGATACAAGACGAAAGACAAATTTCTATGAGCTTGATCTACGTCAGCCAAAGGAGAAAATGATAAAATTTAATTGGAAGACATTAAAGGGTCCCAGAATACTTGAAAAGCGACTTTATGTTCAAAGGCTGGAAGGCTCAGTAATGTGTTAGTTACCTCCAGAGTGAACTAGAAAGTAAAGGCAGCTGAAATAAGAACTAAGCTTTTTGTTTACGGAACTTGCAAAGTTGATCCCAAAATTGATTATGAGGTGCAAAGGGCTAAGAACAGCCACGAAGCTCTTGCAAAAGCAAAAGTCATACTAGATTTGCACCACTAGAGGCCAACACTTCGTGTTGGCAGCAGGGGAAGGGCTACGATGTTGCGCTGTGTGAGGGGGAAATGACTGGATCCCAGACTCACACCGCACACAAAAACGCAATTAAACACAGACTAAAGATCTACCTAAAGGTGAAAGGCCAGACTAAGAGCTGTTGGAATAAAGAAGATGAGCTTTGAATCCTTAGGATAGAAAAAGATTTCTTTAAAAAAAAAATTTTTTTTACATTTATTTATTTATTTATTTATTTATTTTTAATTAATTTTTTTTTCAACGTTTACTTATTTTTGGGACAGAGAGAGACAGAGCATGAACGGGGGAGGGGCAGAGAGAGAGGGAGACACAGAATCAGAAACAGGCTCCAGGCTCTGAGCCATCCGCCCAGAGCCTGACGCGGGGCTCAAACTCACGGACCGCGAGATCGTGACCTGGCTGAAGTCGGACGCTTAACCGACTGCGCCACCCAGGCGCCCCAGTTTTTGAGAAACAGAGTGAGACAAAGCGTGAGCGGGGGAAGGGCAGAGAGAGAAGGAGACACAGAATGTGAAACAGGCTCCAGGCTCTGAGCAGACAGTCAGCACAGAGCCTGATGCGGGGCTCAAACCCACAAACTATGAGATCATGACCTGAGCCAAAGTCGGACGCTCAACCGACAGAGCCACCCAGGTGCCCTGAAAAAGATTTCTTAAATAAGAAACAAAAATCATAAATGAAAAGGATGACAAATGAAGGTTAAAATCAAGAACGGAAGGAAGTGAAGACAGGACGCAATGCAAGTACAAAGCACATTGAGGACCAGGAGAGCATATTCACGACACTTACTTGCAGCTGCAAAAGAACGGACTACATAACATACGTGTTTGCAGATCGAGGAAGCAAAAGACGACCTGACAGAAAAATGGGCAAAAGGAACACCACCAAAGTAGAAACTCAACAGACAAGGAATCCAGTTCTATAAATTCTGAAACCACACAAATCCAAACTGCTATGTGGAGACCTGAATATAAGCGGGAAAACTACTTTTTAAAGCAAAGGAAGAATTTTCACAAAGGTCAGGATGGGGAGTATGTGCAGGGAAGGAGAGGACGCACAGGGAATTCTAAGTCACTGAACGCTTGGTTTCTCAATGTGGGTACAGAGAGCTGTGTGTACTTTTAAATCCACTTTATTGAGGTGGACACAGCAAAATCACCCAATGTGAGTGGACAAGTCCTGACAAATGCTTTAACTGCTTAACTGCCACCACCATCACAATAAAGAACGTTTCCAGCACCCCCAAGGGCCCCCTGTGTCCTCTGGCCATCAATCCCACCCCCACCCCAGGAGGTGAGATAACTGGAATCCTACAATAGGTCTTGTGTGTAGACTTTTCTTCACATGGCAAAATGCATCCACGTTGTAAAGATGTTTGCTTATCCTTCTCAGAAAATGTAAATTTTGTATTAAACGTTTCACAAT